AGTAAAACAACAGAGTATCAGGAAACCAAAAGGTGGTTCTTTGAAAAAAATCAACCAATTGACAAACTTCCAGCAATACTGATTAAGAAGAAAACAGTGAAGGCTCAGATTACTAAAATCAGAAATGAATGTAGGGACATTATTATCTACCTTACAGAAATAAAAAGAATAATAACAGAATAGTATGAATAATTTCACACCAACAAATTAGATAATCTAGATGAAATAGACAAATTCTTACAAACACACAGAAGACCAAAAATGACTCAAGAAGTTAAGAAATTTGAATAGATCTACAACCAATAAAGAGCCTGAATCAGTAATAAAACACACCCTTACAAAGAAAAACAGTGGACCAGATGGGCTCACTGGTCAATTCTACCAAACATTTAAAGAAGAATTAACAAGAATCCTTCTCTAAGTTCTCCAAAAAACTGAAGAGGAGGAAATATTTCCTAACTTATTTTATGAGACCAGTATTAATCTAGTACCTAAGCCAGACAAACATATCACACACAAAAATACACACCAGTATCTCTTATGCATATAAATGGAAATATTTCCAACAAAATACTAGCAAACTGAATCATATAGCATATTAAAATGATTACACATCATGACCAAGTGGGATTTATCCCAGGCATGCAAGGGTGGTTCAACATATGAAGATGAATCAATACAATACACCACACTAATAGAATGAAGGGAAACACACACACACACACACACACACACACACACACACACACACGATCATCTTAACTGAAGTGGAAAAAGCATTTGACAAAATCCAACAGCCTCTCATGGTAAAAACACTCAACAAACAAGGAACAGAAAGGACATTCCTTCACATGAGAAAGGGCATTTGTGGAAAAACAAAAGCAAAAAATAGACAGCTAACATCACATTCAGTGGTGAAAGACTGAAAGCTTTCCCCCTGCGATCAGGAACAATACAAGGATGTCCACTGTTGGCAATTCTATTCAACACTGTACTGGAAGTTCTAGCCAGACCTATTAGACAAGTAAAAAGAAGTAAAAGGCATCTAATTAGAATGAAAAATGTGAAATTATCTTTATTCACAGATCACATGATCCTATATTTAACAAAAATCCCAAAGAATTTACAAAGAAAAACTTCTAGAGCATATAAACAAATCCAGCAAAGTTATAGGATATATGTTTAACATACAAATATCAGTTCTTTTTCTATACACTAGCTATGAACAACTCAAAAAGGAAATTTAGAAAATAATTCCATTTACAATAGCATCCAAAATAAATAGCTAGGGATAAATTTAACCAAGGAGGTGAAAGGCATGTAAAATGAACTAAAACACATTGCTGAAAAAAATTAAAGAAAATCTAAACAGATGGAAAGACATCCTATGTTCACAGATTAGATTGCTAAAATGGTGTTACTCCCTGCAATGATATAAGATCCAATTCAATCCCTATCAAGATCCCAATGGCTTTTTTGCAGATATGGTAAAGCTGATCTTCAAATACATACAGAATTACAAGGGACTTCTAGTAGCCAGAACAATCTTGAAAAAGAACAGCAAAAAGCAGGAGTTCTACTTCCAGATTTCAAAGTTACTACAAAGCTACAGTAATCAAAACTGTGTGGTACTGTCATAAGGACAGAGCTATAGATTAATGCACTGGAATTAAGAGTCTAGAAATAAACCTATGCATTGATTTTTGACAAAGGTGCCAAGATCATTCAGTGGCAAAGAATAGTCTCTTTAACAAACGGTGCAGGGGTAAATGTATATCTACATGCAAAGAATGATGATGGACCCTTACCTTATATCATTCATAAAAATTAACACAAAATGGACCAAAGACCTAAATATAAGGGGAGAAACTATAACTCTCAGAAGAAAACATAGAGACAAATATGCATGACCTTGCTTTTGCCAACGGTTTCTTGTATATGACAACAAATGCATGAGCGACAAAATTAAAATAAGTTGTACTTCATCAAAATTAAAACTTTTGTGCAGGAAAGGACACTGTCAGGAGAGCTGAAAGGCAACTCACAGAATAGGAGAAAATATTTGCAAATCACATATATGATAAGAGTTTACTCTCTAGAATATATAAAGAACACTTACAACTCAACAACAACAACAACAACAAAACAACTCAGTTAAAAAATAGGCAAATGACTTCAACAGGCCTTTCTCCAAGAAGATATACAAGTGGCCAATAAGCACATGGAAAGATGTTCAATGTTATTAGTTCTTAGGGAAATTCAAGTAAAAACACAATGAGACATCACTTCATACCCACTGGGATTACTATAATAATAATAATCAAAGAAAACAACAAGTGTTGAAGAGGCTGGAGAAACTGGAATATTTGTACATTGCTGGTGGGAATGCAAAGTGGTGTGGTCACATGGAAACCAGTTTGGCATTTCTTCCAAAAGTTAATCATAGAAGTTCCATATGATCCAGCAATTCCACCACTAGGAATATACCTAAAACAACTGAACACAGATCAAACAAATACTTGTACATGCATGTTCCTATTAGCATTATTCCCAATAGCTAAAAATAGAAGCAATGCAAATGTCCATCAACAGATGAATGGTTAAACAAATTGTGGCATAGTTATATGATGGAATATTATTCAGTAAAAAAAGGAATGAAGTACTCACACATGCTACAGCATAGATGAACCTCAAAAACGTTATCCTAAGTGAAAAAAGCCAGACAGAGAACACACATATTGTATGATTCCATTTATATGAACTATTTACAATAGGTAAATCCATAGAAACAGCTAATTAGTGGTTGCCAGGAGCAGTGTGGAGGGGGGAACAAGGAGTGACCGCTGAATGGGTACTGGATCGCCTCCGGTGATGGCGAAAAACGTGTGGAATAGATGGTGGTGGTGTTTGCACAGTGTCAGTGTACTTAGTACCACTCAATTGCATACTTTAAAATGGTAAATTTTGTGTATGTTTATTTTACCATAATAAAAAGAAAAAAATTAATTATACAGTTAAAAATGCTTTTTATAAATATTTAAAGCAATACATCAGTAAACAGAAATATTAATGAACTATGAGAATACACAAAGCTCAAGTTAATTCAATTCAACAACCACGTACTTAGTGTCTGCTCTGAATAAATTGCTGTGGAATATATAAACATCAAGAAGACCTGACCGTTGCCTGAAATAACTTATAATAGAAGCAGCAGAGGAAATAATTGGCTAAACAAGTTTAATCCATGCCTACTCTATTTGCCAGACACTGTTTTAGGTCTTTGAGACATAGTGAACCAAACAGAGGTAAGATTTATTAATGCTAATGAGGGGGCCAATAAGTTCTTTTTGATCTGAATCGCAGTGTATGATTAGGAATTAAAACTCTTTCAGGACCGGCAGTATATATAGCTACCACTCACTTTTTGTACCTCTAGGGGTTAACTGGGAAGCTACTATCCCACTGGTAGTACGGGCTGCCGGCAGGTAGGGCCCTATATAACAGTTTGAAACGGAAAAAACAGGCTTGTGCCACAAATTACTGTTTTCACATATCGTATGAAGTGGTGCTGAAGCACCGAATTTTTGGTAGGAAAAACATGAATTTTGAAAATTTTTATTTGGTACACGTATGTATCTCTGGACTCTGGGGGTAGAATTTGTGTTCACAAGGCATATACATGTGTACCTCTGGACTCTGAGGTTATGATTTGTGGAATGAGGCATAAAATAAAAACAATATTACCTCTCAAATGTTCAGACACACTCAATGATTCAGCATGCCCTCCATTACTGAAAACACACAGTAACAACAAAAAACTAAAAGGAAAAAATAATTGGGTCATGAAAGGGTTAAACAGGCAGAGAGGTGATTCAGGCATTCCCAGTGAAGCAAAGAGCCTGAGCACATGCAGAGAAGGAAGTATATAATGTGTGTTCTGAGATAACTTGTAAAGTATGCAGTGCTCCAAAATAAAAACATATAAAGCCTATCAACTATATATATTATGCATATATTATCATGAGGGTAATAATAATTCAAAGTATAACCTTGTGATGTTAGTGAGGAAGTATTCTAGTAAGAAGGGTTTTAAGTGAGATTTAGTAGGAGTTAAAGACATAGAACAGCAGAGAATGTGGGTAGTTCTGTCTCTCCTTTCTGACTTAGTTTTGGTCTTACTCTTTGCCTTAAAAGAGAGGCTATTTAACCTCCACTTATAGGCTCAGCCATTCCCCAGTCTCTAAGACTTGTACTAACCATATATCCAACAACGGACTTACTACCTTTATGGTCCCTCATATTCCTTACCCATCTTCCCTTTCTGGTGAAAGCAATGTTTCTAAGCTACAAACCTGCATATAAAATTGTTCCACAGCTTCCCACTGTTCTCAGCATAAATTATAAACTTCATGGTACGACTTCTCCAAAGCCTTTTATAACTTAACTTTTTGATTATTCCTCCAGCCTCATCTTTTGCCATTGTTTATTCTCCTCTGCTGAACTTATACAGGTATTCCCTGCTTTCAAGCCTCCTGGTTTTACTTACTATTAGAACAGTCTTCTCTCATTCTCTTCACAGCCCTTCATATCTCCTACTCTGCTCAGATTAGCTGTAACTTACCTTTTCCCCACTCCCAAGATAGGATTAGGTACCATTCTATTGGGTGAACAGCACCTTAATCATAACATCTCCCTTCTTACTTATGCTGTATTGGAAGTTCCAAGTTTGTCTGTATCCCTACTGGAGTATAAGATTGAAGGTAAGGACCTTGCAATCACCACTGTATTATCAGTTTTGATAAAAACACCTGGCATATGAATATTTTGATTGAATAAATGAATGGAGTTACTACATCACCTGGAACATCTTGGTTGTAAATAATTAAAACACAAGTTTAGGTATCACTGAAATAACAACACACTCAACACCAAAACTCACTGACCGGTCCACAGTTTTAGAAGGAACTTGACTGCTGCTCTGCACAGAGATGAATACACACCTGTGAGAATGGACAAAGCTGTGGTCTTTCCTGCCCCATTATGTCCTAGAAGAACAGTGATTTGCCCCTGATATAAATTCCAAGATAAGTCGTTTACAGCTACTTTGTCTCTGTATTCCTGTGAGATAAAAGAAAGAATAATTCTATAGCTTTCACTATTACTTACAAAAGTCAAATACTCACTTCCTTAGAAGAAACAGCACTATATCAGCAAACTCATGCTGTAAAAAAAGGCTGCTGTTATGAAAAAGAATAATATTTGGAGGCACATTAATTTGTGTATTAGTTACATTAAGTGTGGAGGTGCAATGTTAATGTGTATTTACCTGTGTTTGGTCAGGAAAACAGAAACCTCTCTATACTCTGGGTATGAAAGGCTTTACACAGCAATTAAGAGGCTAACTCAACTGTAGAAAGAACTTAAGAAGCTCATAGAAGCTGCGACCAGTGATCAGAAAAGCTGACATCATGATCTCAGCTAGAAGCTTGGTGATTAGCAAGAGCATGTCTGGAAGCTCTTGATATTCTAAGCAGAGGTTGGCAAACTAAAATCTACCCTATAATCTGTTTTTATATGGTCAGTGAGCTAAGAATTGTTTATACATATTTAAAGGGCTGTTAAAAAATATATGCAACAGATACTGTATGTTGCCCACAAAGCCTAAAATATTTACTGTCTGGTCCTTTTCAGTAAAAGTTTGCTGACCATTCTAAAGTAACTCCGGGAAACTTCTATATTTCAGTCTGCAATTGGAAAGCCTGTGGTTCTGAAGAAATTACCAAGTTTAATATCAAATCTGCCTATGTGAGCCTGTCATCGGCAAATTTTAACCAGAAACCAAACAGGGACCGGGATTCAGGGGAATGCAGTTCCTTGGTTTGTTTTTGCAAAGTAGGAGGAAGCTTAGAAATAGTTAGTAACCAAAACCAAACCACACCAAACCTGTTGCCGGCGAGTGGATTCTGACTCATGGCAACCCCATGTGTTGTAGAGTAGAATTTCTCCACAGGATTTTCTTGACTGTAATCTTTACAGAAGCAGTTCGCCAAGGCTTTCTTCTGTGGTGCTGCTGGGTGGGTTCAAACCATCAACCTTTCAATTAGCAGTTGAGCACAGACGACGACACACAATCCAAGAGAGTACATCTATAAATTCTCCCTAGGCCTGGGTTTCCCAACTGTGGCACCACTGATGTGTTGAACTGGACAATTTTTTGTTGTTGAGGGTTTTCCTGTGTCTTATAGGATGTTTAGCAGCATCCCAGGCTTCTACTCACGATGTCATTAACAAGCTTCTCCCACCTCCTCCCTCGTTGTGATAACCAAAAATGTCTTCAGATATTGCCAAATGTCATCTAGGAGACAAAGCCATCCCCAGCTGGAAATCACTGCCCTAGGCAATATAATTTTCTCACATTAATTCGATTACATTGTGTTGCTGGGTGCCGTCAAGTCGATTTTGACCCACAGCAACCCCATGTGACAAAGTAGAACTGCCCGATAAGGTTTTGAAGTGTAATTGAAGCAGACCACCAGGTCTTTCTCCTGTAGAGCCACTGGGTGGGTATGACCCACCAACCTTTAGATTAGTAGTCAAGTGCTTAATTGTTGTGCCACCAGGGCTCTTTGATTACATTATAGATACCGATACTACAATCTGTTTCAGTCAATATCTCTCCTGTAAGATACAGCTCTGCATCTCAGATGACTATTAGAAACTTAAATTTGAATATTATATAAATATCTCAAATTCAAATACAGTAGTCCCCCTTTTCCACAGTTTCACTTTCCCATGGTCAGCCACAGTCCAAAAATGTTATATGTGTAGCATGATGAAATCTCGCGCCATTCCACTGTCATTCACATAACTTTTATTACAGTATATTGTTATACTTGTTCTATTTTATTATTAGCTATTGTTGTTAATCTCTTACTGTACCTAATTTATAAATTAAACTTTATCATAGGTGTGTATGTATAGGACAAAACATAGTATATATAGGGTTCAGTACTATCCGCAGATAAGGGGGGACTACTGTATGTCTAAAACTCAGCACATCATCATCCTGTGAAAATATACTCTACTACCTAACTCAGTAAATGGTCCCACCATCCACACAGATATACAAACCAGAAACCTGAGTTTTATCCTACATGTCTCACCACCATTAACTACTACATGCAATAAATCACCAAGTCCAACTAATTACTCTGGATGACAGGTGATCATTCATTCATTCAACAAATATTTACTGAATGTACACTAAATAAATGGAACTGTGCTATGTGCTAGGGATATATTAGGAATAACTCATACATAGTTACTGTTTTAATTAATCCTTTGTAAAGGATGATAAGACAAAAAGTAAAGGTACATAAAAATAATCATGGATTATGATCAGCACTATGAACAAAACAAAGGGCCTGAAAAATGGGAGGTCTGATGGTATTAAATATGAAACAGAGGTTTATAATGGACATCAAGGAATAATGGGTAGTGATACCTGCCAGATTGGAAACGAATAAATCAAACCCCATGATCTCCCTGGCTTACTAGCTAGATAGAGTTTCAAAGCCATGGCACAGGGAGGAGGAACTCAGGCAGGGTCAGCACTCTATCTAAGTTGAAGAGATGGAGCTGAGAGTTCACTGAGGTCAAGGCAACTAGAGTTCTTAGCACAGAGTTCTGAAGAAGAGGTGGCTGCTACAGACCAAACTATGAAGATCTGGAGATAGCCTCCCTAGGTTATTCAGGTGAGAACTAATCATACATGTGTGAGGAATCTACTCAAGGATGGGGGAAAAATAATTAGAAAGTATTAAAGGGAACAGTTTCTAGCACCCACACACGGTCAAGGAAGAGTTCTTTTTTCTACCAACCAGACTGGAAAATCTCAAGATTATAGATTATTGGGTAGATTACAAAGAAGGGTCTTGTTTCAGTAGTGTGGAATAACTAACCCTAGGCTAAGCAAAGCAGACCTGAAAGAATCAAACTGTTTACAATTGCTTCCAAGAACAAAGCTCAAGAATACTGATAGGAATAAAAAAATATACAGTACACAAAAAGCTAAAATTCCCAGTACCTGGCATCCAATAAAAAATTACCAGGCATGCAAAGAAGCAGGAAAATATGACCCATAATGAGATTAAGCAATCAACTGAAACCCACCTAGAACTGACACACATTAGAATAGCAGACAAGGATATTAAAATGGTTATTATAAATGTATTTCATATGTTCAGAGATTTAAGTAATGACAGAAAATATTAAAAAAAAAACAAAAACAAAATAGGACTTCTAGAGATGAAAACTATAACTTCTAGAATGAAAATACACTGAATATACTGGATGGGATTGATAGCAGATCCCATCTGCTGTCAGATGCACAAGAATAGTTAACTTGAAGACAGAGCAACACAAATGATAGAAAATAAAACACACAGAGAAAAGAGTACTCAAAAATAAATAAACAGAAAGAACAAAGCAATAATAAGCTGTTATATAACTTCAAGGGGGCATAATAATGAGTCCCTGACATGGGATGGAATAGAAAAATAATTGAAGAAATAATGGTAAAAACTTTTCCAAATTTGATGAAAATAATAAACTACAGAGTTAAGAAGGTCAATGATCTCAAAGGATAAGAAAAATCAAGAAAACTACCCACAAGGAACTTCACAATCAAACTGCACAAAACCAATGATAAAGAAAATGCCTTGAAAGGAGCCAGAGAAAAACAGCAGCAGCAAAAACAAAAAACACTTTACATGCAGAAGGAAGAAAATATGAATTTTGGCAGATTTGCCGTCAGAAATAATGAAAGCGAGAAGAATGAAAGTGAGAAGACAGTGGATCAACATCTTCAACCTAAAATTCTGTATCAAAAAAGCCAAACCTGTTGCTGTTCAGTCAATTCTGACTCATAACGACCCAAAAGGGCAGAGCAGAACTGTCCTACAGGGTTTCCAAGGCTGTAAATCTTTATGGAAGCAGACTGCCACATCTTTCTCCCGCAGAGCAGCTGGTGGGTTTGAACTGCTGGCCTTTTGGTTAGCAGCTGAGAGCTTAACCGCTGAGCCAACACCCAGTGAAAACATCTTTCAGTTGAAGATTAAATAAATACTTTTTCAGGCATAGAAAATATGAAAGTATTAATCACCAGTAGATCTGCACTAGAAGAGATATCAAAGTTGGTCCTTCGGGCAGATGGAAAATAAGACCAGATGGATATCTAGATGTAAACAAAGAAATGAAGAGCATCAGAAATGGTAAATACATTAATAATTATATAACACTTTTTATTATTATCCAAATCTCAAGAATAATTGACAGATCAAGCACAATGATAAAAGTGTATTGCAGGTTTTATAACATATATATAAATAAAATGTATGATAATAATAGCATAAATGCCAGCAGGATAAACATAAAAGTATACTATTGTAAGGTTCTTAAACTGTATGTGAAATTGTAAAATATTATTTGAAGACAGACTGTGATAGGTTAAAATGTATTCTATAAACCCAAGAGAAACCACTAGAATATAAAAACAAAGAGAATAAACAAGAAATGGAGATACAATGGAATCTCGGAAGAAATAGTCAGCTGATCCAAGAAAAGGCAGAAAAACAGAAGAACAAAGAACAGATTAGACAACCAAAAGTCAAATAGTGAGATGACAGACACAAATCAAACCAATAATATCACTAATTGCATTAAATGTAGATGACTTAAACATTCTGATTAAAAGACAGAGATTGCCATATTGGATAAAAAGCACAAGTGAACTATAAGCTGCCTACAAGAAATACACACCAAATACAAAAACACAAATATATTAGTATTAAAAGGATGTGAAAAGATAACATGTAAACACAAACTAAATGAATGCTGGAGTGGCTTTAATATTAGACAAAATAGGTTTAAGAGCAAAGAATACTATTAGTAGTAAAGAATGTTATCTAATAATGATAAAGCGGTCAACTTATGAAGAGAATATAACAATTCTAAATGTTTTATTCATCCATTAACAGAAATTCAAAATGAATGAGGCAAAAAGTGATAGAACTGCAAAGAGACATAGACAAATCCACAAGTACAATCAAAGACTTCAGTGCAGAAAAAAATCAGTAGGGGTATAGAATAACTGAACTACATTATAAGCTAATTTGACTTAATTGACGTTTATGTTAATACTCCACTCAACAACAGTAGATCACAAATTTTTTTGAAGTGCTCACAGAATATTTATCTAAACAGATAATATTCTGAGCCACAAAACAAGAATCAATAAATTTAAAAGGATTCAAGTCATACAAAATATCTTCTCTGACCACAGTGGAGTTAAATTAGAAATAAATAACAGAAAGGTCTCTGGAAAATCCCGAAATGATTGGTGAGTAAGTAACACACTTCAAAATATCCCATGAGTCAAAAAGGAAAATGAAAGTATTTTGAACTGAATGAAAATAACAACAAAATTTATGTGATGTCACTAAAGCAATATTTAAAGGGAAATTTATAGTGCTAAACACGCAGATTAGAAAAGAAAACAGGGATTAAATCATTAACTTCAACTTCCACCTCAAAAATCTAGAAAAACTAAGAGCAAATTAAAATTAAACCCTACAAAAATTAGTGAGGGGGGGGGGAAGCTCTTCCCATAACACCTTTGAGTATACCTATTCCATTCCTGAATGATTCTGGAATGCTAGTATTTTAATATTTTTACACTTTGAAAATGAATTGCTAGCTCAGATTTTACATCCTAAACAGTGAAGTTCTTCTCTACTGATTAACCAGTATTACTTTTGAAATGCAATAATATACCTGTATATTGGATGTAGAAATAAAAACAGAACTTCCTTTCTAAACTGGCGAATTTGCTGGGCCTTACGTGTTCTATGTGTTCTTTTGTGCTGGAGTGTTTGCTATATGTTATTTAATCATTCAAACTTGAAAAAGAAAAAAAATTAAACCCTAAGTAAAAGACACAAGATAATAAATATCAGGGTAGGAATCAAGGAAATAGAAAACAACAACAAAAGATATACAGAAAATTAATGAAACTTGATTCTTTGAGAAGATCCATAAAATTGATATACCTCTGGCTAAGGTGATCAGAAAAAAAAGCTCACTGAAGATGCTGCTGTGGAGTCAATTCCGACTATAGGGTCGCTATGAGTTGGAATTGACTTGATAGCAATGGGTTTTTGAATATATTTGGAGGAAAAAGATCAAGGAGAAAGAATGACAACAAATGGCTTCATTATGAAGTCACCGATGGGCTTAAAACCCTGGAAGAACATGATCCATGTTTTGAAAAGATCATTCTGAGTATGTGTGTGCGTTAGGCGCCATCCAGTCGGTTCCGACTCATAGTGACCCTATGTACCACAGAACGAAATGCTGCCCAGTCCTGCGCCATCCTCACAATAGTTGTCATGCTTGAGCCCATTGTTGCAGCCACTGTGTCAATCCATCTCATTGAGGGTCTTCCTCTTTTTTGCTGACCTTCTATGTTGGTTGAAGTCCAAATATATTGGTCACATGTATTGATGTGTTTCTCAAACACATCAATATCTTTCTCACGTCTGGGTCTTTGAATTTGCTGTTCTGCCTACTTTGTGTTCTCTGCCCTTGGCTTTTCAAACAATTGACTCTCCTCATTCTTTAGGTCTCACCTCAAATGTCATCTCTTCAGAAAGGCCTTCCTTTAACTACACTTAGTCTTATCCTCCCTGCTCCACTCCCCAAATGTTAATTCCATCACCCAATTTATCTTCTTTATAGCATTTATTACAAGATTCAAATCATTGTTGCCAAGCCCATTAACAGGAGACTCAAAACAATGCATAACTTATGGAGCAAATAAGACAATATCTGAAAAAAGAAATGTGTATTTCTATATTCTATTCATCACAACTCCAACAGGGCCCTACCTCTTAAAATGAGTCTATATTGATTATGACCCTTTATTAAGCATCTCATTTGTTTTCTTGAAATGATCAGTTACAAACAATTCCAATGTACAGTACGTGGCTTTCAGTTCCTGGAGGAAAAAGAGACCTTTGTAACATTACCTTGTACAAATGTTTCACTTGGATACCTGCCACCAGATCAGTAGGTTCAGCCTCAAAATAATTGTCTTCAGTTGTCTCACATCTTGTTCTTTCTTTCCTTTCTTGTCCAATTCCTGGACTCCCAAACCAGTAAGAGCGCTATAGAGAAAACCAAAATGTAGTTACCAAAAGAAGCATTAAGAAATAAAGCACTCTATCTGAACAGACCTATAACAGGTAAAGTGATTGAATCAGTAATTAAAATTCTTCCTACAAATCAATGCCAAGGACCAGATTACTTCACTGGTAAATTCTACCAAACATTTAAAGAATTTACACCAGTCCTTCTCTAACTCCTCCAAAAAACTGAAGAGGAAGGAATATTTCATAACTCATTCTATGAGGCCATCATTACCCTTATATCTAAGCCAGACAAAGACATCACGAAAAAACTATAGACCAATACCCCTTATGCATATAGATGTAAATATTCTCAACAAAATACTAGCAAACTGAATCCAACAGCACATTAATCCCAAGTGGGATTTATCTCAGGAATGCAATGGTGGTTCAAGAGATGAAAATCAATCAAAGCAGTACACCACACTAATAGAATGAAAGGAAAACAAACGAACAAACACATGATCATCTCAATTGATGTGGAAAAAGCACTGGACAAAATCCAACAAACTCTCATGGTAAATACTCAACAAACTAGGAAGAGAAGGGACATTGCTCAACATGAGAAACCACATTTATTAAAAAAACCCATACCTAACATCGTACTCAATGGTGAAAGACTGAAAGCTTTTCCCCTAAGATCATGAACAAGACAAGACACCCACCATTGCCAATTTTATTTAACATTATACTGAAAGTTTAAGCCAGACCTACTAGGCAATTAAAAGAAATAAAAGGTATCCAATTAGAAAAGAAGATGTAAAATTATCTTTATTCACAAATATGATCCTCTATATATAAAATCCCAAAGAACCTACAAAAAAAAAAAAAAAAAAGAAAGAAACTATTGGAACTAATAAACTTAGCAAAGTTGCAGGATACACATTCAACACACAAAATCAGTTGTGTTTCTATACACTAGCAATGAACAACCTAAAAATGAAATTAAGAAAACAATTCCACTTACAGTAGCATCCAAAATAAAATAGCCAGGAATAAATTTATCCAAGGAGGTGAAAGACTTGTACACCAAACAGTATAAAACACTGCTAAAAGGAATTACTGAAGACCAAAAGAAACAGAAAAATATCATCTGCTCATGAACTGAAAGACGTAATATTGTTAAGATGTCAAAACTACCCAAAGCAATCTATAGATTCAATGCAACCTATCAAAATTCTCGTGCCTTTTTTGTGGAAATGGAAAAGCCAATTCTCAAATTCATATGGAACTGCAGGAGGCCCTCAACAGTCAAGACAATATTTATCTATTTATTTTTGGTGGCAATTTATACAATCAAACATATATCCATTCAACAGTTTCTATATGTACAGTTCAATGACATTGGTTACGTACTTCACATTGTGTTAGCATTCTAACTATTTCTACCCATATTGTTTCACCACCATTAATCTAGACTTTGCTTCCTAAAGTTCTCATCTGTGCTTTAGATAAACAGTGGTCAATTTGAATTCACATAGATAATTCTTTAAAAGAGCATAATGTTCAAGGCAAACATTCTTTATTAACTGAGCCAAACTGTTGTTCAGTTTAACAATGGCTTCATGGGATAGTTTTGGCTCAAAGTTTAAAGATTATTTCTGGGCATTAGTTTTGGGGGTTCCCACAGTCTCAATGGAGCCAGTTTAAGTCTGGTTTCCATATGAGTTTGAAGTTTTGTTCCATGCTTTCCCTTCTGATCAGGATCCATCTGTTGGGTCCTTGATCAAAATGTTCAGTAATGGTCGCCGGGCACCATCCATTTCTTCTGGTTTCATGGTGAAGGAGACAGTAATTCATGGAGGCAATCAGACCTGCAGTTCATTTCCTTCACTGATTCCTGGATCTCCTTCCCCTGCTGCTCTAGGAAAACAGACACCAACTGTTGTACCTTGGGTGGCCATTTGCAAGCTTTTAAGACCACGGGAGCTATTCATTGAACTAGTAGGTAGAACAGAAACTCTAAAAACCATGTTAGGCCAATTGACTGGAGACATGAAGCCATAACCCTAAACCTTCGAACCAAGAAAACTAGTCCAATGAGGCATTTAGTTGAACCTAAGTAGTATCAAACAATGCAGCCTTTTTTTTGGTGGGGGTGAGGGTTGATGTTGTGGTTTAAAATCATATATTTTATTTGTTCCTGGTGTACAGATTAGTGGTGATAGCTACATTAGTCAAGTTATGTAACCATTAACCTTAGCTGATGCCAATTTTCCCATCACCATAGACAAAAGTTCACTACTTCCTACAGAATGATTACCCCTCTGGCTCCCTGCTCCTGTCCCTGGTAACCACTAGTAACCACTGGTCTCGGTATAATTACCTATTCTTGTCATTTCATATAAGTGAGATCATACAGTATCGGTCCTTTTGTGACTGACTTATTTCACTCAGCACGTATCAGGACTTCATTTTTTTTCGAGGCTCATCCATGTTGCAGCATGTATCAGAAGTTCAGTTTGCTTTAAGGATGACTAGTATTTCATTGTACATATGAACCACAATGTGTTTATCCATTCATATGTTGATGGGCACTTGGGTTGTTTCCACCTTTTTGCTATTGTGAATAATGCTGCAATGAATATTGGTGTACTTATGTCTGTGTCATTACTTTTTGGTCCCTAGAGCATGTATCTAGGTGTGGAATTACTGGGTTATATGGTAGTCTTATTTCTGATTTTTTGAGGAATTGTCATACTGTTTTCCACAGTGGTTGTACCATTTTACATTCCCAGCAGTGGATAAGGGTACTGATCTCTCCATACCCTCGTCAACATTTGCTGTTTTCTGTATTTTTGATCACTGCCATTCTAGCAGGGGTGAGGTGGTACCTCATTGTACTTTTGATTTGCATCTCCCTAATTGGAACCTTGGTGGCTCAGTGGTTAAGAGCTTGGCTGCTAACCAAAAGTCAGCAGTTCGAATCCACCAGCCGCTCCCTGGAAACCCTACGGGGCAGTTCTACTCTGTCCTGTAGGGTCACTATGAATCAGAATTGACTCAACAGCAATGAGTTTTGGGATTTAATGGCTAAAGAGACTGAACATCTTTTTATGTGTTTGATGGCCACTTGAATATCCTCTTGGGTGAAATGTCTGTTCATATCATTTGTCCATTTTTGATCAGGTTATTTATCTTTTTATTGTTAAGTTTTAGAAGTTTTATATATATTTTGGATGTTAGACCCTTATCAGATATATTGTCCCCGAAGAATTTTTCCCAGTCTGTATGTTGTCTTTTTACTCTTATGACAGTCTTTTGATGAACAGAGTATTTAATATTTATGAGATTCCAGTTATCTATTTTGTCTTCTGCTGCTCATGTACTTGTAGTTGTATTTGATAATCTATCATTAAAAAAAAACTGTCCCATAGTTTCACCCCTATGTTTTCTTCCAAGAATTTTATGGCTTCACCTTTAACATTTAGTCCCTGATCCATTTTGAATTAGTTTTCGTGTATGGGTGTGAGGTATGGGTCATGCTTCATTTTTCTGTGTGTGGAAATCCAATTTTGCCAGCATCATTTGTTGGAGAGGCTCTTCCTTCCCAATGGAGTGAACTTAGCACCCTTGTAAAAAACCAGTTGTCCACAGATGTATTGATTTATTTCTGATAATCTTTACAGAGGCAGACTGCCACGTCTTTCCCTCACAGAGCAGCTGGTGGGTCTGAACCACTGACCTTTCAGTTAACAGCCCAGAGCTTAACCACTGTGTCACCCAGGCTCCTTCTCAATTTATTACATTGGTCTGTGTGCCTATCATTGAACCAGTACCAGGCTGTTTTGATTACTGTAGCTGTATAGTATGTTTTGAAACTGGGGAGAGTGAGTCCTCCTACTTTGTTCTTTTGCTTCAAAATTGATATGGCTGTTCAGGGCCTCTTTCCTTTCCATATAAAGTTGAGGATTAGTTTTTCCATTTCTGTAAAGAATGTTGTTGGAATTTTGATCGGGATTGCATTGACTCTATAGGTCAATTTGGGTTAGCACTGATATTGTTACAATATTACATCTTCTAATCCATGAGCATGAAACGTCTTTTCACTTATTAAGGTCTATTTTAGTCTCTTGCAGCAGTGTTTTATAGTTTCATTGTGTAAGTCCTTTACATCCCTGGTTAGGTTTATTCCTTGGTATTGTCTTCTATTAGGTGTTATTGTAAATGGAAGGAGCCCTGGTGGTACAGTGGTTAAAGCGCTTGGCTACTAATCAAAGGTTGGTGGTTTGAACACACCAGCTGCTCTGCAGGAGAAAGACATGGCAGTCGGCTTCCATAAAGATCACAGCCTTGGAAACCCTATAGGGAAGTTCTGCTCTGTCCTATAGGGTCAATATGAGTTGGAATCACAACTTGATGACAATAGGTATTGTGAATGCTATTGTTTTCTTGATTTCCTTTACAGATTTCTCCTTGTTGGTGTATAGAAACCCAAGTGATTTTTGTGTGTTGATACTGTATTCTGCAACTTTGTTGAATTCTTTTATTAGTTCTAGCAGCTTTCTTGTGCATTTCTTGGGATTTTCTGTATTTAAGATCATGTCGTCGTCAAATAGAGAGAGTTTCACTCCTTCTTTCCAATTTGAATACTCTTTCTTGCTTTATTGCTCTGGCTAGAACTTCCAGTACGATATTGAATAGAAGTGGTAACAGTGGGTATCCTTGTCTCATTCCTGTTCTCAGTTTTTCTTCATTGACTATAATGTCGGCAGTTGGTTTCTCATGCTGTTGTTGTTGTTAGGTGCCATTGAGTTGGTTTTGACTCATAGCAACCCCACGTACAACAGAAAGAAACACTGCCCGATCCTGAACCATCATCACAATCGTTGTTATGCTTGAGCTCAATGTTGTAGCCACTGTGTCAGTCCATCTCACTGAGGGTCTTCCTCTTTTCTGCTGACCTTCTACTTTACCAAGCATGATGTCCTTCCCCAGGGACTGGTCCCTCCTAGTAACATGTCCAAAGCACATGAGATGAAATCTCAATCCTTGCTTCTAAGGAGCGTTATGGCTGTACTTCTTTCAAGACAGATTTGTTTGTTCTTCTGCCAGTCCATGGTATATTCAATATTCTTTGCCAACACCATAATTCAAAGGTATCAGTTCTTATTCGGTCTTCCTTATTCATTGTCCAGCTTTCGCATCTATTTTTCATAGATGTCCTTAATCATATTAAGCAATTTCCCTTCTATACTTATCTCATTGAAAAATTTTTTCAGGAAAGGATTTGGATTTTCTCAAATGCCTTTTCTGTGTCTAGTGAGATGATCATGTGGTTCTGTTATTTTGTTTTATTAATGTAGCATATTATATTGATTGATTTTCTAATGTTGAACTATCCTTGCATTCCTGGAAAAAAATCTTACTTGATCATGTGTATAATTCCCTTAATATGCTGTTGTATTTTGCTCCCTAGAATTTTGTTGAGAATTTTTGCATATACATTAATGAGGGATATTGGTCTGCAGTTTTCTTTTCTTGTGATGTCTTTATCTGGCTTTGGTAACAGGGTAATGCCAGCTTTGTAATGAGCTACGGAGTATTCCTTTTACTTCTATGTCAAAAAAATCTCGAAAAAGATGAACAAAATTGGAAGACTCCCACTTCCCGATTTCAAAACTTACTACAAAGCTGCAGTAATCTAAACAGTGTGGTACTGTCATAAATTAAAGATTCAGACCAATACAATAAAATTCAGAGTCCATGTATACACCCATACATCTATGGTCAACTTATTTCTGACAAGTGTGCTGAGACCATTCAGTGGGGAAAAAATAGTCTCTTCAACAACTGGTGCTAGGACACTGGATCTCCACATGCAAAACAATGAAACTGGATGCCTACTTCACACCATATACAAAAATTAACTCAGACCTAAGACCTAAATATAAGAGCTAAAACTATAAAAACTCACAGAAGAAAACATATGGATAAAGTCTCATGATTTTGTGTTTTTTTTCCATGTGAACGTGACTTTTGTTTTAATCATTGATGAAAAGGATTTTTAAAAATACAGTTTTAAAAGTCGTATTTGGCATGGAAGGTGGTTAAATCACTGATTCTAATACAGTCTGACCAATATGCATTTATTCTATTCTATTTAACCTCCCAAATTATTATCACTAGAAAAGAAGGCTCAAAAAGTTAAATAAAGGTTGGAATCAATGATAACCTTTAAGAATTCTGGAACAAGGAAGACTTTCTCTGAATAATAATAACAAATATGTGTATAAAGCAAGTGCCAGGCACTGTATATACATTAATGTGTTTAACCCTAACAACAACTGTATAAAGTAGGTGCTTGTGGAACCCTGGCAGCACAGTGGTCAAGCATCTGGCTGCTAACCAAAAGGTCAGCAGCCCAAATCCACCAGCCGCTCCCTGGAAACTCCATGGGGCAGTTCCACTCCATCCCATAGGGTTGCCATGAGTCAGAATCAACTCCATGGCAACAGGCTTGGTTTTTTTGTTTTTTGTTTTTAATTGTCCCCATTTTACAGATGAGGAAACCAAGAAGCAGAAAGATTAACTTGCCCAAATTCTCATACCTTATAAGCACTTGAGACAAGATTTGAACTCAAGTAATCTGGCTCTCAGAATTTGTGCACTTAATTAGTGTGCTCTGATGTCTCAGATTATGTGTGTATGTGTGTATATGTGTGTTAATATACAGTAATAATAAAGATAAAGAGTATAAAGGTTTTACAATGTCAAAGAAACTGTTTCCCAGATCTGGTGCTGAAATAGTATAGAAAGTTTTCCAAACCTGTTGCCGTCGAGTTGATTCTGACCCTTAGTGACCCCACAGGACAGGGTAGAACTGCCCCACAGGGTTTCCAAAGCTGTAATCTTTTTTTTTTTAATTGTACTTATTAGATGAAGGTTTACAGAGCAAACTAGTTTCTCATTAAACAATTAACACACATATTGTTTTGTGACAGTGGTTGCCAACCCCATGATATGTTAATACTCTCCCCTTCTTGACATTGGGTTCCCCATTACCAGCTTTCCTATCCCCTCCTGCCTTCTAGCCCTTGCCCCTGGGCTGATGTGCCCACTTAGTCTCATTTTGTTTTATGGGCCTGTCTAATCTTTGGCTGAAGGGTGAGCCTCAGGAGTGACTTCATTACTGAGCTATAATGGTGTCCAGGAAAGCCTCATGATTTTAGATGTAGCAATAGATTTTTAGATATGAAATCAACAGCATGAACACCAAAAGAAAAAATAGATAACAGAACTTCATCAAAAAACTTTTTTTCATGAAAGGACACGATCAAGAAAATATAAAACAATCCACGGAATGAGGAAAAAATTGTAAATCATATATCCGATAAGGATCTAGTATCCAGAATATATAAAAAAAAATCCTACAACTTAACAACAAAAAGACAAACAACTCAATTAAAAAACAGACAAAGTACTTGAATAAATCTTTCTAAAGAAGATATAAAAATGTCCAACAAGTGTGTGAAAAGATGCTCAACATCATTAGGGAAATGCCAATCAAACCACAATGAGATACCACTTCACACCCACTAGGATGGCTATAATTAAGAAAAAGGAGAGTATAAGTATTGGAGAGGATATGGAGAAACTGGAGCCCTTGCTTGTGGGAATGTGAAATGGTGTAGCAACTGTTGAAATCAGTTTGGCATTTCTTCAGAAAGTTAATCATAGAACTACCATATGACCCAGAAATTCCAGCCCTAGGTATATACGCGTAATTAAAAAAACACTCTAACAAATATTTGTACATGAACGTTCGTAGCAGCACTATTTACAATAGACAAAATGTGGAAATGACCAAATGTCACAGCCAATGCCCTTTACCACACTGGGTCAGAACATCTTATCTGTACCGTTCATTAGCCAGCACTGGTAAGGAAGAAAGTGGAGAGCAAGATGCCAGATGTTCTCCTACTCTAAGTAAACTGGGCTACCACTGAAAGAAAACAGGTAGTGAGATCTGTTATAGAAATATATAATCCTCTCCTAGGGAACTCCTTTTGCAGAAGCTTTTAGGTTTCTTTATTCTCTAGTCTAATCCACTATATACCATTTGGCTGTGAAGGGAGATATTACAATTTGTAATGTTTGGGGTTTCAGTGTTTTATTTATAGATGTACATTTGCATGTGTGGAACACTTCAACATGTATCAAGAAATGGCTAGCACTTCAGTAGGATTGGTCTGTAGAGAATGATTCTGTACCTGAACTTTTTATTTGATCATAAATAGTACACCATAGGTTCATAAGTGACTATGTCGTTTATAACAGCAGCATTAGAACTCACCATAAGGAAAAAGTACCATGGTTGGGGCATACCATACGGCCCTGGAAAGACAGTTTCTATATACCAGGTCACAAGGCCATACAAGAAAGCATCAAATAGCAGCATTCCCAACATATAGCCAAAGACAAGGTTATCGTCAGGAACAGCTTGTGTCCAAAGGTTATCCCATTTAACACCAATCTCTGAAACAAAACAGAAGATAGTTACTATAGATGAGAACTCTGTGATTTAAAAGATTGATACTCTATATTTTGCCATAGTCAATTATTTATCTGCTTGATATCCTTTATATTTAGGTCATCCAATAAAATGACAACATTGGGTGCCTCTGTCCTCCCTTCAAAACCTTCAGAAATAAACACTAATGACTAAAATGAAAATAAACAATAACAAAAATGCCAGTGAAAAAACAAAAAGTAAATAAACCCCAAAACAAACAATGACAAAAAAGTCAGTAACAGAGCAGACTTATTGGGACCTATCCCTCTACTCTGCCCCTCAGGCTATATTCCCACTGAAATAACCATCAGGACATACAACTTTGGAAAGATATTCACCAGCATTAGCAATAAATGCTGACGACAAAGCAGAAGGTAAAAGATGTTTTGCTTAGATACAGCACTGATAAAAGGGAAAAAGGAAGTAACCAAAGTCAGATAAGTAATCCTTTCCACCTCTACTTTATCTATCACTGGACAGAGGGTAGCACAACTAGAAAAGGATTAGGGCTTTCAGTGAACCCCTAAATCAAAGACAGAAGGCACAGAGATATGAAACTTGTCTGCCCTTCAACTTCAGCTCTCCTTTGTCTCTAGATTAACACCATGAGAAGAATATTCATGAGCACTGTGTTTTTGAAAAAGCCATAAGAAAAGGTAATAATCTGAGAAAAAAATACTGAGTGAAATTAAAAATGACTTATTAAATTGAACATTATTTTGAGTGGCAGTGAACAGCAAATCACAAACCACAGGAAAAAAAGAGACGGTGAAATATAAACTTTAAGTCTTTCATTACTTGACACATTCTCCCAACCTAAACACAGTAAGAGTTCCTTTAAGAGAAAAACATATCAGGTAGTAAAGAAACAATAACTAAACAGGAAAATAAAATAAACTAACCTGATAAAAATAATTCATTCAGAAAACTGAAAGTGTATGTCCTGTTCCAGATTAAGCCAATTAAAATCCCACGTCAAGATAAATCCTAGTCAATTTTTAGTTCTTTACATATAAAGTAAGCACTGTATGAGTATACAGAAAAATATCAAATGTACATTATTCTTATTGGCTATTTATTGGGAGTAGCTTTTTGTTCATGAATGAAAAAATTCAGTATCCTCAATCCTTCTCCATTAATCAATAAATGCAATAAGATTCTCACTAAATCCCAACAGGATTTTTTCATAGAACTTAACAAAGTGATTCTAAAATTCAAGTGGAAGAGCAAAGTGACAAGAATAACTAAAGGACACCAAGGTAAGGGGTCAAGTCTAACAGATATGAAGGCTTGTTATAAAGCTATTATAAATAAAACCAATATGGTATTGATACAAGAATAGACTAACGGAATAGAAAAGATCACCAGAAACAGATACCTGCCAATATGGAAACTTCATGTAACACAGAGGTGGAATTAGAAACCAGCAGAGAACAATAAGCTATCTGATAAATAATTGTAATAACTGAATTTTCACGGGGAAATTTTTAAAAATTAGGTTATCTCCTAAGAAACAGAAAGCTAAATGTAAAAACCTGTTTTTTTTTTTTTAATTTTAGAGGAAAATACAGATTATCTCTATTACTCTGAGTATGGATGGACTTCCTGAGCAAGACCTAAGCATACAAACTAAAGGAAAGCTGGTAAACTTAATCACATTAAATTTAAAACTTCTGAAGGAAAAAAAAAACACTACTTAAGTTTAAATAAGCCACAGACTAAGGATATTCACACAACTTACAACAGAGAGAGGATTCAAATCCCTTTACGTAACAAGAAAGAATCCCATCCACCCACCCCCTATAAATTTAAGCACACTGAGATGCCATTTTCTACTTAGCAAAAAGGAAAAGGTGAAATAGTTTTAGATAGTGTTGTAAAGGATATGAACATTTTAAATATCTCCCAATTTATAGGCCTGGACCAGTAAGTCCATTTCTTCTTATGTGGCATTATGTGCCCTGGGAAGCCAGCAGTGTCAATGTCATTTTGGGAAGTTCATTCTAGAAAGGAAGTCAAGGAGGAGAGCCAGCACTTGCATTCCAAGTAAGAAAAGAGTAAAAGGAAGGTGAAACAAACAAGTATATGGTCCTAGGTTTCCCTGTCTCAGGGGAACCTTGGGAAAGGTGGAGGTGGGATTATGTAGAAATACCCAACACTGTATGGTATTGGCACTGGTATTGGCAGTGTGAGGTGGCTAGATACATGGACACAACATAGTGCTCCTGGCTCCCCATACCTTGAATATGGTATTCACAACTTACAGGAATTTCCAAGTGTTTGTGAATGCCAAAGAGGCTCAGAGAGAGCCAGTGGATCACAGAGAATTGAATCAGGACTTTAAGGCTGGGCCAAATGGCCCCAATCGTGCTCTCCAACAGAGGGAGTACCAGCACATTGTGCTACATGGGCCACAGATAAGCAATCATAGTTCCGTTTGTAAGGCTTCATATACAGCTCAGGTTAGGCACTCTGCCACAGAGGCAAAAGATCCAGAGGATTACACATAGATCAGAGAACCTCACTTCACTCCACTATAAGAGAGTTCATAAATTTCTATCCCCTACATATATTATCTTAAAGAATACAAGAAGAGAGAAGTCTGAAAGAATGACTCATTAAGAAGAGTCTGAATAAGTTGTTGGATTAGACTTACATTGCATTTAGCTTCCTCACCTCTACAACTCAGTTGGGTAGAATTTAGAGGAAAACTAATTATAGGAAATAAAGAAGCTAAATTTGCTTTTTACATGAGAGTAGTATAATGCATTATTGGAAAGGATATGGAAAAACTCTAATCTACTGTTGGTGGGAGAATAAATTGCTGTACTCTTTTTGAAGGTTATTGTAATATCAATAAAAATGTATGCTATAAACGTCTTCTGAGATAGCATTTTTATGTCTAGGGATTTATTTTTCAGATAAATATGCATATGTGAGAAAATATATGTGTAAATTGTGGGCAAGGGCAAAAAAATGGAAACCACCTAAAGTACATGGCTTGAGAACTAGTTAATTAATTATGATACCTCTTTATAGTACAATATTAAACAACTTCGTAAAAGAATAAACTGTATATCTACATGGTAAGAGGTCCAAGATACATTATTAAGTCAATAAAGCATACCGTAGAACAGTAGTTATAAAATTATTTCCTTTGGGAGTGTAACTGGGGGTTTACTTTGGAGAGATGAAGAACTTCTAACTTTACACACTTTAATTTTTTAACAGTTCATCTATATTGTCTTTATAATAAACAAATCCAGGAATAAATAAATCTGATAACATTCTCTTACCTCCTCACACACTGTCTCACTCACAATACTTAATTCTGACTTTCCAGGAATTGGATCAGCAAAGGCAAAATTTGTAAGACAAACGCTCACCTTTCATTTCCAATTTGAGCAGAAGATTAATCCCTAGTGCCAATGCAACATTTAAGCTAAGACAGGAAGCTATCTTCTTGGCAAGAGTTATCTCTCCATAGATTTCAATAATGAAGTTAAATGGCAAGAAAGCAGCAAAAAACAGGAAGCTTCCAAGAGAAGCAGCCAAATTAGCTGCAAATAAGAAGGAAATTACAAGGTCAGTTTAGAGCAATCTGAAAAATCCTGAATTACAAATAACTTTATAGACTACAACAAAGCACTATTGGACTATAGCCACTAAATGTGGCGACAGTCCAATAAAAATTTATTTACAAAAAAGGAGGCTATAGTTAGAGTATTCCAGATTTATAGGATTTCTTTACATTTTGGGTATGAGTACTTTGGGAGTTGAGTACCAGGAAGTTAAAAGGGCTTGGGAAATACCTCAGGATTTCCACAGAAAACGTAAAGTCAAGCCTTCACACATACTAGGTGATCATCCAGTAAAACTGAACTGACTACTAGAATAAAAAGCAACACTCTTTGGAACCTTCATAGTGTAACATCAACAATGCCCAGCACACAGTACAATTACCAGAAAGGTAAAGATACCAGTAAATGTGAGTAATAATTTTTTTTAAAAAGTAGTCAGTAGGAATAAATGAATCCACAGATGGCAGAGATGCTCGCGTTAGCACAGGAAGAATTTTAGAGGAGATATTATGAATGTTCAAAGATTAAAGGAAAAATATCTTAATAAGTAAACATAGGAAATCTCAGAAGACAAAAAAAAAAAAAAAACAAACTAAAAAAGAACCAAATGGAACTGGAAAGTACAATAATTAAAATGAAAAATTTATTGCATGAGCTTAAGAGAAGATTGAAAATTGCAGAAGAATCAGTAAACTTCAAGATATATTAATAGAAATTATTCAGTCTAGGGGGAGAGAGAGAATGGGAGGGAGAGATACAGAGATGTTTGAAAAAGAATGAAGAGAGCCTGAGGGACTGGTGGGATAATTTCAAATGGAAAGAATGCAAAACCAAAGTCTCAAAAGGAGAAGAGAGTGAGAATGGGACAAAAATATTTGGTGCTGTTTTTCAAATATGTGAAGCTTTCAGATTTTATGTTTTCAAATATTTTTTGTCCAAGTAGTTCAGCAAATACCAAGCAGGTTAAATAGAAAGAAATCCACATCCCGGCACATGATAGTGAAACTGCTGAAAACAAACAATAAGAATTTGAAAGCAGCCAAAGAAAAGAAACATATTATGTATGTGGACAATGACAGGAACGTTGGCAGAATACACATTCATTTCAGGGGAACATCAAACAATATTGAAAATAGGTCATATGCTGGGTCACAAACAACTTTCAATAAATTCATAAAGATTGGTATCATACAGTATATATGCTCTGACAACTACAGGATTAAGATAACATTTAATAACAAAAAGACATCTAAAAAATCCCCAAATATTTGGAAACACGTTTCTACATAACCCATGAACCAAGGAAACCACCACAAGGGAAATTAATAAATACTCTGAACTGAATAAAAATGCAAACACAACATATCCAAATTTGAAGAGATAAAGCAAAAGCAGTATATTGAGGGGAATTTATAGCTTTACATTTTTATATTAGCAAAGAAAAAAAGTCTAAAATTAATGACATAAGTTTTCACCCTAAAAAGTCAGAAAAAGGAAAGCAAATTAATACCAAAAAAGTAGGAGGGAAAGAATAATAAGAACAACAATTAATGAAATATAAAAACAGACAATAGAGACAAACAATAAAACCAAAACCTAGTTTTCTGTAAAGATCGGCAAAATTGATAAATGTCTAACAAGATGGATCAAGAAAAAAGGGAGAAAGTAAAAATAATCAATGCCAGAAATGAAACTGGGAAAAAGATTACAGACAGATCACACAGACATGAAACAGAATGATATGAGACTATGATAAAGGAGATACCAACCTGACAAATTAGAAACTGATGAAATGGGACACAAACTGATGAAAGGCACATTTACCAAAACGGAGACATAAGAATATACAATAGTCTTATTTATATTAAATAAATTGAATTTGTAATTAAATTCCCATAAGGAAATCTCTAGGCTCAGATGGCTTTACTGTTAAATCATTATGTATATATGTATACCTATAGTCCATTCATGCCCTGTTATAATCTCTCCCAGCTGCTCCTCTCTTCTCTCCCCATCTCCAGGTAAACATTAATATGCTTTCTCTCACTATAGTTTACATTTTCTAGAGTTATATATAAATGGAATTATACAACATGTACTCTGTTTGGCTTCTTTCACTTGGCATAATTATTCTGACACTCGTCTATGTTGTAGCATGAATCAATAGCTCATTCCATTTTATTGCTGAGTAGTATTTCATTGCGTGTATATACCAAAATTTGTTTATCCATTTACTTGATAAAAGACATCTGGGTTGTTGACAGATTTTGGCTATTACAAATAAAGCTGTTATGAATACTGGTGTGCAAGGTACTTCTATGGACATATGCTTTATTTCTCTCAGATAAATAAGTAGGAGTAGAATGGCATTTAATCTTTTGGGGATTTATTTTTAAATTACCAGCAGAGAACTATTTCTACAAAATTTCTAACTAGACCACTCTGGGGTTATTTGGTCACACATATTTTGCTCATGTGAGCAAGGAACCAATTTTTATTTTACCTTTACATATGAGACACAGAGTCTTGACACATGGTAAGTGCACGAAGGACTTGCTGAATGAGTGAATGAATGAGTTTATCTCCATCCCTTGACTTGATTTCAGAAGTGATTTAAAAGCAAATTCTGCAGGAAGCATTGTTTAGTTCACCCTTAGTTCCAACTGGTCATAATTTTATTTTTTATTCGCTTTTTACATATACATTGGGCCATATCACTTTCAATGCTCTCTGCACTTCCTGTCAAATAATTTCATGTGCCATTCATCTTTTCTGTTAGAATGTAAGCAGAAGCAGTACATGAAGGGCTACAAGGAGCTCCCAAATATGATTCTATTTTGGTCAATTAAAAGAGGTTCTGTCACAAGAGGAGTCTTAGACTCACCTTTACTGAAGAAGGTGCTAACCATAAAGCCAAACAATATTGAAGCAATGGCATAACACATAAAAAAGACAAAGATGGAACTATAGTCACTGTAGTAGAAGACTGGTTTATCTATAACCTACAATAAAACAATTAGGAAGTCAGGTGAGTTACACAATAAGTAGTGTCACATAAAAAGAAGAGATGAGGGAGAAAATGATAGCCCTAATGATGCAGATAACACTGCTCAGTGATTGAAACTGAATAAGATGGAAAGTTAACTAAATAATTTCTTACAGAATGGTTTAAATCTTGCTGAGAGATTCAGCAGCTTCTGAGTTTCCACAGTGGAGACAATGAAAATCACATTTCATTCTCCTGGCAACCTGAGACCAGTCAGCCTACACCATGATTATTTTTTCAGTTTCAAAGGATAGCTACAGCAGGCTGCAACCAACTAGAACCATACTGTCTAATATCATAGCCACTAACAACATGTAGTTATTGAGCACTTGAAATGTGGTTAGCGTGACTAACTGAATTTTAATTTTAATTATTTTGAATGTAAGTTCAAAAACTTAGGCAGTATCAAATACAGATCAAGTACTTCTAATGAAAATTTGGCATCTGAATTGAGGTGTGTTGTAAATATAAAATACACACCGGCTTTTGGAGACATTGTGAAAAGAACATTGTAAAAGGCTCATTTGATTTTTAATTGGTTGCAAGTTGAAATAATAGTATTTCGGATATATTGAGTTAAATATATTATCAAAATAATTCTACCTGTTTCTTCTTACCTTTTTATTCTAGTGACTATTAAACATTTAATATTACATATATGACTCAGATTATATTTGTATTGGACAGCACTTAACTAGACACTTGCCTTGGTAAAGAATAACACGCATATCAAAGAGATAATAACAATATGTGAAAGTAAGAATGTGAAAAAATAGGCAGCCCAGATAATCCAGTTTCTGAGTCCAATGATGAGCTGGTACTCCTGTGGGAAAGTCAACACAAACCAAACATTACATATATCAGTAATATGACTTATATAAATGGTTAATATCATCTCCATCTTATGAATGAGAAAATCAAGGCTCAGAAAGTCAATTGTCTTGATCAAAATTATACAGTAAGCAGAAATATTGGGATTAAAACTTATTTCTCCCAAGTTCAGAGGTCTTTTTTCAATACTATACCTAGTATTGAACCAAAACAGAAAATATTTCAAATTAAACCTTAAAGCATTGAGATTAAGATCTCTTCTATTACATTCTATTTCCAGGAATATTAGAAAAATGTGTCTATGTTTTTTAAACCCAACTGTAAACACTAAAAAGTAGGAAAAATAAAGTTCCCAGTGTGGTGAAACCATGAATATTTTTTCAGAAATACCTGGCTATAGACAGATATTTCAAGTTTTAACAATACAAAATTGTTAGTTAAATATGATTTAGTTAACACATGATGCTTTACAAATTCTGTAAGAGTAATACTTATAGATTGGCTATTTGAGATAAGATGTTTTAAACTAGAAACTCCTTTAGGCAGCCAAAGCTCTCTCTCTCTCTCTCTCTCTCTCTCTCTGTGTGTGTGTGTGTGTGTGTGTGTGTGTGTGTGTGTGTGAGTGTGTATGTGCACACACAAATCTGTATGCATAGAGAAGGAGAGCAAGAGAGAGAAAAGAAAGGGACATATTCCAAAATTTTAACAGTGCTTGTCCAGGGTGAAGGTTTTTTAATACTGTTTTGTGACAGGCAGAATGTTCCCCTAAAGATATCCACACTAAATCCCCGGTACATGTGGATATATTACGTAACACAGCAAAAGGGATTTTGCAGTATAATTAAGGTTATGAATCTTAAACATGGAGAGATTATCCTAGATTATCCAAGTACACCCTACCATATTTTCTGCCTATTTGTTCTATCAAACATTGACAGAATGTCAAAGTCTGCAAAGATAGTTGTCAAACTGTCCATTTCTCCTTTCAGATATACATGTGTAGGACTGTTACCTGTTATCATTATGCAATGTCCCTCTATATTCCTTGTTCTGAAATCTACTTTGTTTATTAATATAGCTATTTCAGCTTTTCTTTTGGTTAGTATTTGTGTAGTCTATCTTTCTCCAGGCATGTATTTTTAACCTAAATCTTTAAACTGGGTTTCTTGTATATAGCATACAGTTAGGGTTTTTCTTTCTTATTCTATCTGATAATTACTGACTTTCAGCTGCTATGTTTAAACTTAGTGATTATTTATATGTTTGGATTAAAATCTACCTTTTTGGTAGCTGTTTTCTATTTGTTGTATTTATTCTTCCTTTTTTCCTCCTATTCTGTCTTCTCTGGTTTTAATGAGCATTTTTATTACTCCATTTATCTCCTCTATTGACTTGTTATATATAAATCTTTAATGTTTTTTGGCAGTTGGCCTACAATATGAATTTTAAAGTAAATGAGTCCAACTTCAAATAGTATTATACCACTTCACATGTAGTGAAAATATTTATTTATTCTCAGTTTTTTCCTCCTACTCTTTGTGCCACTGTAATCATACATATTACCTTTTCAAGTGCTATAAGCCTCAATGCATTGTCACTTTTATTGGTTTAAACAGAAAAATATCTTTCAGAGCAATTAAAAATAATACAAAGATTTGGGGGTGGAGCCAAGATGGCAGACTAGTCAGACACACTAAGCCATTCCACTAAAACAAAGATCCAAAAAACCAAGTAAAACAGATACAGACGTCAATCCTAGAACCTTGAACTTTAAATGAAGGGATAAACTATTAGATTGGAAGTCGTTGAGAAGAAGAAATTGATAGAAAATGAGGAAGGAACAAAGATACGGAGTGAAGGTTCCTGACCAAATGGCATGACTCAGTGTTGCCATCTTGGAATAGTCAATTACCCGCACGCAGAAAGGCACCTCCACGGAATTCCCAATAGAAGATAGAGGTACAGCACGGACACACCCAGGACTAAGACCATGTTTGCTGGCTGCAACTCAAGAAGCCCAGACTCTCTCACCTAGTGACCACAGGAGCATGCTCCTACAACCCCTACACCTCTGGTAAACAGTGGCTATAACCACCCCATAGCAGCAACCCCAACTGCCAGGAACCAGAGTTATCAACACACTCTACTGCCCTCCTCCACCTAGCCCCCTCTGCCCCTGCCTTCGCCCACCCCTCCTACCTCTCTCCTCTGCCCCACTGCCCATGGCCCCAAGGGGATCCAGCTTAGATCCCAGGCCCCTTTCTGCTGGCTCTGGATCTCTCTTGCTGCCTGCCACAGCACCCAGGTGACCGGCTTGGACCCCAGACCCCTTCTTGCCAGCTCTGGACCCCTCCTGCAAGCTCTGAACCCCTCCTGCCACCTGCTGCAGCCCCCAGGGGATCTAATTTGGATTCCAGGCCCCTTACTGCTGGCTCTGGACCTCTCCCACTGCCTGTTGCAGCCCCCATGGGACCTGGCCCGGACTCCAGGGCTCTTCCTCTTGGTTCTGGACCCCTCCCTGCCATCCACTGAGGCACCGAGGGGACCTGGCCTGGACCTCATACCCCTTCCCACTGGCTCCGGAACCTTCCTGCTGCCTGCCGTGGCCCTGAGAAGACCTGGACTGGATCCTGGGCCCCTTCCTGCCGGCCACAGACCCCTCCTGCTGCCCGCTGCGGCTCCAAGGGAGCCCGACCCAGACCCCAGGCCTTTCCCAGCTGCCTTGAGATCCCCCGCAGATCGCAGTGGCCCCGCTCCAGCCCCTACCCTTTTTACACTGGAGACAAATGACTCATCTCCACCCATTTCCTTCCTACTGGACTTACCCTGCTCCATCATAGCTGAGTGACTGGCCCTGGACACCAGGACAAGGTGGTGAGGACTATCATACCCACAAAACGAGCAAACAACAAAGTACACCTGGCCTGCCTGCCCAGACATAATCAATCAAAGCAGAAAAGCAGGAAGAAACAAACAAACCTACAATAAATAAACAAAGGAAATAACACCTGAATGTCTCAGAGACAGCAGACAATATCAAAACTTATTAAAAAAAAGGACAAGATGGCTCCAGTAAGCAACCTGAATAAAGTACCAGTTGACCTTCCAGGAGAAAGAAAGGCACTGGAACTACCTGATAGGGAATTCAAAAGTCTAATATTCAGGGCTCTCCAAGAGATTAGGAAAGAGATCAAGGAAAATGCAGACAAAATCATGGAAAACACGGACAAAACCAACAAAAACATAGCCAAAATCAAGGAAAACACAGACAAAGCAGTAGAATAATTCAGAAAAATAATAGAAGAACAAAATGTCAAAATAAATAAACAATTAGAAATCATACAAAAACAGCAATTATAAATCTAAAAGATGAACAACAAAATTTCAGAATGGACAATGCAGTAGAAGGTTTTAGGAGCAAATATGAAACAATGGAAGACAGAATCAGTGAAATGGAAGACAAATCCATGCGTGCCACTTTGAGGAAAAATTAGAGAAAAGAATGAAGGAGAATGAAGAAAACCTAAGAACTATGTGGGATACAATCAAAAGCAAAAATCTGTGTGTGATCAGAGTTCCATAACGGGAAGAAAATGGAAAATACAGAGAGGATCACTGAAGATTTGCTGATAGAAAATTCCCCCAATATCATGAAAGATACACAGGATAGGCCCCAAAAGAAAGTCATCAAGACATACCACGGTGTGTCTTTGGCCAAAACCAAAGACAAAGAAAGAATCCCAAAAGCAGTCGAGAAAAAAGAAAAGTCATATACAAAGGGGAAACTCGGCAGAAACCATTCAGGCAAGAAGGCGATAGGAGGATATATGTAAAAATTTGAAAGAAAAAAAACTGCCAACCAAGCATAATATATTCTGAAAAACTCTCCCAAAAATACGATGGCGAAATTAAGACATTTCCAGATAAACAGAAATAAGAAAATTTGTTAAAACCAAGCCAAACTTAAAAGAATTATTAAAGTGAGTCCTTCGGTTAGAGAACCAACAACATCAGACAACAACCTGAATCTAGGACACAGGTCAGTATCAGCCAAATACTGACCTAAGTAATGAACTCTCAAGGATAAAACAAAACTAAACAATTCAAACCAGGGAACTAGAGGTGACAATCTGTAAATGACGACAATGTCAGAACAATAAAAGGCTGATACACAGTGAAGATATACAACTTTCAAATGCAGAAGAAGTCCAGGCAATATCAAGTAATAAAAGACTGGTTCAAACTTAGGAAGATGAGAGTAAATTTCAAGGTAACTACAGAGAAAAGTTAACAAACCTACTCCTCAAAATAAAGAAGAAAAACATACAGCTTCAGTAAACACAAAACCTACAATATTGAAATAAACAAAAAGCAATCTCCTAAACAAAAGGAACTCAGCGCAGGAAAGTAAGAGGAATAACAACGACAAAAAAAGTCAAAATACAAAATAACAATAAACTCACACCTATTTATAATCACACTGAATGTAAATGGCTTAAATGACCCATAAAGAGATAGAGAGTGACAGAATGGATAAAAAATCATGACCCCTCAATATGCTATGCTGTCTACAAGAGACATACCTTAGACACAAAGACATAGATACATTAAACATCAAAGGATAGAAGAAAAATAATGTCAAGCAAACAGCAACTAAAAATGAGAAGGAGTGGCAATACAAATCTCAGACAAAAAAGACTTTAAGGTGAAATCCACCATGAAAGACAAGGAAGAACATTATATAATGATTAAAAGGATAGTCCACCATGATGACATAACCATAATGAATATTGATGCACCCAATGATACAGCTCCAAAATACATAAAACAAACTCTACCAGCAATGAAAAGAAATTGACATTTACACAATAATAGTAGGAGACTTCAACACACCACTCTCAGCAAAGGATAGAACATCTAGAAAGAAACTCAACAAAGATACTGAAGATCTAAAGGCCACAATCAACCATCTTGACCTCATAGATACATATA